AGTCGTAATTATTTTAGCGAGACAAGCTTGTTAACCACTACACCACGTTGCGGTGCCCAGCTCTGTAATGATGGTTGATATCATAACCAGAAAATGAATAAACACTTGACAGTAAAAGTGATATTGTGGGTACCTTGACATGGTGTAATGGTTAGTAAGCTTGTCTTGCCAGATCAATTACGACTGAATAGTGAGTTCGATCCTCACTGGTTGCTCCACACTTTTGGCCGCGTGCCACTTCTAAACTGCACTTAGAAAATCATTAACCGAAATTGTATCTTTGATGCAATAAATATGCAGTAAAATGATGTTTCAAAGACAAAATGAAAAATACATTAACGCACTTTTTATGAACGCCATTACGCCAGTAATGCCAACCCAGTGTTATTCATGTAAATGTAAGATAATGGTGGGACGCATAATTATCTATCCTCATAAACATAGCCAGTGCAAGAATAAGCCGATATAAATCATCTCCATTACAAACCAGTTTTATCGCTATAAATACGCCATAATTCTAAAGTAGCGAATATAAAAAATTATAAATATAATATACTTATTTAATTTTTACAATGATTTTCACCCTGTACAAAACCCGGAAGCCACACAAGGTAGAGGGTTACAGAGTAGGAGACACAGTTTATGCGGATATGTGGGGAAGATAGACTCGAACAGGTTAAAAATGTAGCAATCGGGGAAGCATCCTCTCAGGTGTCGGTTCCACAGAGCAGTGGTTCGCTGGAAGAAGCTGTTCGAGTAGAACATACATCTCATCAATGGAATACGAAGGGAATGAAGGTGGTTCGCTGCAATGTGTATGACATGGTGGGTCTTAGGTGTGTAAGCTAGAACTGGTGGAATTAAGGTATGTAGTTCGTCTACGTAAATAGCGATAAAGCAGTGTAAGGATTGCGACGTTTCATTTTCACAATAGTGAAATTATTTACACCATTTTCTCGCAATTGAAATGAGGCATTATTAAAATCACAAAAGACAAAAATAAATTAATCTCCAAAATATCCTTTAAAAAGTCAAATTAGAAATTTATATTTAACTAGCAGTAGAGCCCGGCATTGTCCGGGGATGTAACAGTAAGAGATAGATCAAGTATCGACCGTCATAAAGACTGAAGAATAAAATTGACAAAGATTATTGTTTAAGGTTGACGGACATGCATGTCTTAATTAGTTTTTTTTTTTTTTTGTTTTTTTACGAATTGGTCAAACTCAAACAAAAACATTGTTTTCAATCGTTATGAGTCTACCGATTGAATAGAATTTTATTATAAACAATTGTCTTGTAAATGGAATTTTTAAAGCATTCTGAATGTAAAAATAAAGAAAAAAGTGTGCAAGAGAATAAGAAACACTACCTGCAAAAAAAAAAAAAAAAAGTGAAGTTTTGTTAAAATTGGTTGAAAAATGTAGGAAATCCGATCTCATATATAAGTGAACACAGACACACAAACAACCTGGGTTTTATAATAAGTATAACTCGATATGAGTTTTCCCCCCTTTTATTCCGTGAAAGTGATGCCTCTTAATCGTGTTTTCAAATTGATTTCGTGCAAAAAAAATTGTTTTTCCAATTTTTGGCACTGTCAGAACCACCGCAAGGTAATTTTACGTAGTCCTGCGAAGTTTTGTTGAAATCGGTTGAAAAATGTATGAAATCCGATCCAATATATAAACGTACAGACACACACACACACACACAACCTGGGTTTTATAATAAGTATGATTATATTTATTTTAAATATTAAATATAGGACTTACGGTCATATCACGTTGCAGCGTTGGTTCACCGAAGTTAAGCAACGTTGAGCCTGGTCAGTGTTTCGATGGGTGATCGCTGGAGAATACTAGGTGTTTCGAGAGGCCTAACAAACCAGCGATAGATACAACCTCGTTACTTAGTATAAAGACCTCGATATGTGGAGTTGTTTCTGGACTGATAGGTCGCAGAGGTGCTTTAGGGCTGACAGGACGGTATCCGGAGTTAGGCAAGAGGTGCTTCTGAATTGACAGGTTACAAGACATATTTGAACTGACAGGTAGCAAAAAGGCGCGTGGTTAAATATGGCACATAAATAATAGTATTAAATAAATTCTTGTTTTCGTTCTTTGCAATCTATAACTATACACGGCCTCTGACACCTGTATAATTTGTCACTGCACTCGTTTTGTCGATCTGTCATTCCCTATTCAAGCACTACCAAAAATCTAGTATTCTTGGTCACTTGGTGGTGATTTTTATTTTCACGGTCATCGCATGTAAACATCAGAAAGTTAACCAGTTTTTACGGCGTTTTCGCCCAGTGGTCGTTGTGTTTCCGTGGAGATTTCAGGCGTGAAATCTTCGCAACGAGGGTAATTTGTTTGTCTCTGCTGAAAATCAGTTTCGCAGCACAAACCAACAAACCCCGTTGGTAAGTAAGAATGGGTTTAATTAAAACAATTGAAGAGTTTAAAAGTACATAAAGAGAAAAGAATGATTAATCTACCTATATAGACTGGTTGATGAATTTTCGACAGGAAAATTATTCTAGCAGTGATTGTAATAATTTGACATATCTTGGTCTTAGCACTGTGTTCTTGTCTATCTGGGCTTGTGTCTACGGGTTTGTTAGTGACAGAAGCAACAGTAGCAACAACAGGAAGAGGAATGGTTTATATGGACTTATCGTTTCCCTGTCTGATCCCGTCTGGGCATGGTTTTAGTTTGACTAGTTTATATAAGGAAATTTGCTCACCTCTGACTTCGATTTACTGAATGTTTTTCGATAAGATATTCATGATTTTCCTTTGTCCATTAATATATGTCCCTCTTTGGAAAACAGTCCGATAAACCCCAGGTCTGAATTTTGGTAACAATATGAAGAATTCGGTATATAATAGAATTTTAAAATAAACATTAAAAAACTTTCTTTTGGATTAGGGAAATTTTAAAAGATCATAAATGTTGCCATATTGCCCCCCACCCCCGAAGGCAAATGGGTAATTTGTGGAAGATTTATTTATTTTTTTATAAATCTGAATGAATTCTACTTGGTTTAATTAAAGTTCAAATCATTCTATAGCCTTTTCAAAATTCATTATATGATCTCAAATTATTATTTTAAATCTGCCCTTTCTTTCCTTATCGGCACAATTAATTTCCCTGTTTAATGTTAATGATTTCCTGTTTCAGATCATCATGAGGCTTGAACCAGGATTACTATCCTGTTCATGCAGTTAAGCGTTGAACCAGGATTACCATCCTGTTCATGCAGTAAAGCGATGAACCAGGATTACCATCCTGTTCATGCAGTAAAGCGTTGAACCTGGACTACCATCCTGTTATATCCCTTCATGGAGTAAAACGTTGAACCAGGATTACCACCATGTTGTATCCCTTCATGTTGTTCATGTAGTAAAGAGATGAACCAGAATTACCACCTAGTTAGATTCCTTCATGTAGTGAAACGTTGAATAGTTGTTATCGTCCTGTCATGTCCCTTTTTTGTTTTACAACGAAAGCCAGCACTGGAGAACTTCTATAAATCATTCCTGCAGAAATCGGCTTGTCAAGTATTTTTTTTTTTTATATAGCTATCAAAAATTTCCGTTTGGAAATTGCCGGTTGTCTTCTGATTGACTTGCGAGGCTATAACGTTGTATCCTTGGTGTAAGGAAATCTTCTTTTTGATTGGTTCATGGGAAATATGCCTTCATAGACTAGTGATCGGTATATTACGAATTTCTGTCTATTTGTAGCAGTGAAGAAAATTCTTTGATGCTTTTTTTAAGTCATCACTACAGGCTACCCAAACAGAATTCGAGAAACTGACCAAAAATACCAGATTCAGCAACCTCCCCAATCTTTTCTCGATAAATCCTGCCCTCCCCTTAATTACGTTAATGCAACAGTTTCCAACCTTTTTGGGGCCATACCTCACCTAAGTGTCTCTAAAACCCTGATGCCCCCTCCCCCGTGACATATAATTCATAATATTTTTCAAAAAGTGTACACCTATTCACGTAGAAGTCTAAACGGCCATTAATTTCCTTAAGAACTTGAGACCGCATATATGCAATAGTATTAATACTTACTTTTACAATTTTACAATATTTATAAAAAAATTCTGTTAGTAATAGAAATATATATATAATAAATATACATTACATACGTAATTTCACATGTACATACATACTGAAAAATATTTTTATGTATGCATACTGTATATGCACCGTATGTATTAATACGCACAAACATTCATACTCACACAGTTTCATTAGAAAAAAAATCACTGTTAAAAACTTATTCTCGAATTGCCCACATTAAAAATCAATTCGTCTCATGTGGAGTGTGACCCCCCCCCACGTTGGCAACCACGGCGTGAGCGCAAAATTTTAATGCCCTATGGCTTCCTCAAAAATGTTCCTTTTTGTAAATATCTTTTTTAATCTGGTCTCAATCCTTTCCATATTTAGTTGCTCTTTATTACCCCTCTCCAAATATAATCCCAATCTTGTAAATTCCAATCAGATGAAGCATGCGAGTTTAGGAATATTTTCGATGGAGTTTTGCCAACAACATAACCTGTAAGCATATCGCTCGCACTACTGGAAGTCCATAGTATATCGCTACTTAATCTAACATGACATCCTCGGTTCTTTTAGAGACGAAATAGTTTGTTCAATAGTTCAGAGAAATAAGTTTCCGTTTGCCTGTTTTGGTTAAATAAACGTTCAAGTTGTTCACACAATTCAGTTCTTAAGCTTATTCCATTGAAATGAAGCTGTAGTAATAGTGTAAGAGATTTTTTTTTTATGCGAGTGTTTGAGAAAAAAATCTGTTGTTTGATCATATTTTTGATGTTTGGTCTTTTTAATCAAACTTTTGGGAACTTTTCAGCAACCTCTCACATAATATCACCCTGCAATTATTCTTCTGCTACGGTCGATTTTCTTAATGTCCTGTAACCACATCAGAGAAAAAAATGTGTTCTTTCGTTGTTCCTAATAAGGAAAGAAAAGCATCAAACACGCTATGAAACGAAAAAGGAAGAAAGAAAAGCGTAAAAGGAGGAAGGCGTGAAAGAAAAAAAGAAAGAAAGGAGGCTTGATTGAATGAAATAAATAAAGAAAGAAAGTGTGAAAGAAAGAGAGAAAGAAAGAAAACGTGAAAAAGGAAAGAAGGCTTGAAAGAAAGAAAAAAAGAAGGTGTGAAAGAAAAAAGAAAGAAAGAAGGTGTGAAAGAGAGAAAAAGGCGTGAAAGAAAGAAAGGAGGTGTGAAAGAAAGAAAGGAGACATGAAAAAAGAAAGAAAGAAAGAAAGAAGGCGTGAAAGAAAGAAAGAAAGAGAACGTGAAAGAAAAAGAAAGGTGTGAAAAAAAAAGAAAGAAAGAAGGTGAAAGAAAGAAAGGAGACATGAAAAAAGAAAGAAAGAAAGAAAGAAGGCGTGAAAGAAAGAAAGAAAGAGAACGTGAAAGAAAAAGAAAGGTGTGAAAAAAGAAAGAAAGAAGGTGTGAAAGAAAGAAAGGAGACATGAAAAAAGAAAGAAAGAAAGAAAGAAGGCGTGAAAGAAAGAAAGAAAGAGGACTGTGAAAGAAAAAGAAAGAAGGTGTGAAAAAGAAAGAAAGAAGGCATTGAAAGCTAGAATTAAAGAAGAACGAAAGTAATAATTAAAGTAAGAAAGAAAGAAAGAAAGAGTGAAAGGAATAGTGGAATGTAGGTGAAGAAAGATTTTTTGTTCATATATCACTCTTTTAATACTGTTAAAATTTGAAATAAAATTAAAATTTCATACTTATTCTAATAAATCAACATATTAAGTTTAATTATTTTTCAATATGAAATATATCTTGAAATAAGCATATATACGTTATCTTTTTCCTTTTTGTCGGCTGCTTTTATGAAACGCGACACTTCAACAAAGTGAAAGAATTTGTGGTTTAATAAAAGGGTGGGAAGAGAGAGAGAGAGAGAGAGAGAGAGAGAGAGATGTGTGAGGAAGTGGACTTTTCATGTAGGTAGACATCTTTGATTGTGCTTGGGTGGAGGAAAAATAAGAAGGTGAAGAAAGAGAAGATTTAATTTTTTTTCAGATAATTAATGTACTTCAACTTTGGGAAACTTATAAACATACAATAATTAAAAATTACAAAGAAGAGGATCACGAGAGATTGGAAAATGGAGTCTTCATGTAATTCATAATATCCTCTTTGAAAATGTAAACAGTTGTTGAAGATTTAGTTTATTTCAAATACTTAGAAATGGGAATATAACTGAGATGGCGTTATCGGTAATGTCTAATACTGCTCAGCTAACCAAGGCGTAAGAAGAAATTACTGCCGTAAATATACCCCCCCCCATGTGAATCAAGTGAATAACGCTTGTTAGGTAGGTGGCGCTGTTTGGGTTTATAAAAAGACAAACATTTCTTCCTCACACACTTTCTCCCCCTTGCTTCAAGATGTAGCAGGACATGGTAAAAGGATCGCTTGGCTGGGATACGTCCGTTTCTCAGGTCCATTGACGACTGAACTCGCTATTCACTTTCCGACGCATGGCGTTCGCACGTGTATTCTAAAAGCTCCACCTATTATTTGGTCGTTCCAAATCAGCGCAAAGCTGACTTGAGCTCGACCGTAATAGCCATGCTTAAACTCTCCAGTGATGAAGTACAAATTTTCTGTAGTCGTTCCAACTCGTGCTAGATTTAACCGTAAGTTCTATGCTAACAGTTTCTTCTTTCGCACGCCTGTCTTGTGGAACACTCTTTCGGCTTCTTGCTTTCCAGTCAACTTTGATCTTCAAAATTTTAAATGCAATATCAGTCGGTATCATCTGTCTATTTAATTCTTGTTATTTTATTGTCCTCTTTTCTTAATATTTTTTTCTTTCAGTAACCCTTTGTGTAATAGTATCTTTATCGTCTTGCCCTGGATGAAATAAATTTCATTGCAATTATATAAAAGCAAAGCAAAATGCAGTTTCTCGGGAGGACTGGAATCGTACTCACCGTATTCCCGCTATCAGTGAGCAAAATTCTTAGTACTTTTCATCGTGGTATAATAGTTAGTAAACTAGTTTTTCAGATCATTCTTAATGAGTTGTGAGATCGATCTTCACAGGATACACTATGCTTCTGGCCTTGTGTCAAAATTAAGCTACGCTTAATATTTTATATGCTAACCGTTTCTTATCTCGCACGTCTCGCTTGTGAAACAAGCAACTTTGATGTTCAAAAATTTAAATGCAATGCCATTCGTTAGCTTCTGACTTCTTAACTGCTGTTATTCCATTGTTCTTTCTCTTTAATAGTGTTTCTTTCTCATATTCTCTCACATTCAGTAACCCCTTGCATCTTAGTGGTCTTATTGCCTTGATTCTGGTGAAATGATTAAAAAAAAAATAATGGTGATTAGGCAAAACATCCTCATTCTCTTCGTATTCTAGAATTAAGAAGGAAATTCTATTCAGACAGTTTCTTCCCAAGGGTCTATGTTTTGTGGACCCCACTCACTGGGGAAATGATTAATCGATCACTACAATCTTAACCTCTTCAGGACAACTATTAAAAATACTACGTATTCTCATAATCTACAACTTTACCTCTATAAAATAACCCCAGGCAATAAATTTCTACTTTGAGTGGCTCTTGGGTCATGCATTGTGTAAAAAATTGAGTTAAATAAAAACAAATTTATGATTGAAAGGAGTATTTGCAACATATATATATATATATATATATATATATATATATATATATATATATATATAAGTATATAATTGGTATATATGGAATGAATTCCAATAACCAACAATTACTATTCTTAAAAGAGTGCTCAATACAAAGTAGAGCAGATATATATATATATATATATATATATATATATATATATATATATATATATATATATTATATATATATATACGGAGGGTCGTTTGGGGACCTTACGGCACGTAGTGCACCAAGTCTCTGTATTCGGCCCTTCAAAAGTGTGGATGGTTCTGCACAAAACCTTCGCTACTATAATTAAATCTCATGTACTGGTGTCGGGCTGTTGGTTCCTTGAACTTGACTCTTATATGTCGAATTCGACGGATGAGTATATATATATATATATATATATATATATATATATATACACACACACCCTACTTCAGATTAAGCACCCATCATCAGGAATCAAATCCTTTCATTATTGATGAAGCGTCGGTGATTTCAAGGTATGCGCTCAGTGCCATAGGTACATGTCTGAGGGACTTCACCAGCGTTTATTGCATTTGGAGAAAATGTGATTTTACTTGATGGAGTTTTTCGTCAGCTATTACCAGTGGTGTCACGTGGTAGTAGTACTGTAATAAACGAATCATGTATTAAATTCATATTCTCTTGGCGTCAGTTTAAACTGATGCCTTCTTTTTCTCCCTCGTATCTAAACTAGAATGATAGACTATAATTTTGAAAAGTGAAACTTTCGTTGAAATATGTTAAAAAGTGTCTACATTTTCATCTGAGATCAAAAAAATATGAAGAAAAAAAAAAGTCACAATATATCGATAAAAGAGCGTGTCAGTTTAACTCATATTCTAGTCTGACGATAAACTACACCCAGCTGCAAGGCCTTTGATCGGGAGATTGGAGATTTTGGGAAGTGTGGAACCTCTTCTTAATTGCTGTTGTTCCCATGTAGCACTTGTTAGAGTCCCAGCTATGGGCAAATAGTGAACCCCAAACAAAAATCATTAATACATTTTTATAATAAAATTACCAACAATACCTATTTATAGTAAATTAACCAACAATATATTTCATAGTTGAATTACAATTGCGCTCAAAATATTTAGATTTCGGCATTAAATGACCCATAGAGATATTGATATGCCGCTAAATAAAGTCAACTCATATCCTGTTGGCGTCAGTTTAAACCAGCCTTTCTCAAGCTTTTTAGAATTGTGGCTCCCTTGAAACAGTTTTCACGTCTCAGGAAAACTCTGCATAAAAATTATTATACCATTATTAATATCTATTATTTTCATATTTTTATTGTAGTTCATGAATTAAGTATAATATATTTTTAGGATAAAAATGGTTTAAGGAAAAAAATGATACCCTGTCCAAATTTATTGGAAGTGCAAAAACAAAATCATTGTTCGTTTATGAGACTTCACATTGAGGTTTTCATTAAAAAATATATATATAAACAAAAACGAAAAAATGAACATAAATAGCCAAGTTATTGTAATTTCTTATAATAATAATCAGGCATTTTTCAACAATATGTCGTACCTGTATAGTAAAATTACGAATATAAAATTAAACAAAAAATACTAAAAAACTGTATTAGCCTATTTATCACTGTTTCTCGCGGAACTCGTAACAACTTTCTTGCGGAACTCTGGGGTTTCGAGGAACACCGGTTAAGAAACATTGAACTGATGTCTTTCTTTTTCATATATTTAGACGATAACTATGAAATATATTTTTGGAAAAGCGAATTTCACTGAAATATGTTGGAAACATCATTTTAAATTAACACTTTCATTTTATCCACATATACAGAGTGCGATGGGTAAATTGTCGCCATTTTATATTTTTAATTTCTGGCATACGCGTTCTTTGTTTTTAATTTTGTTGACTGCACAGTATAGTAGGGTCAGTTGGGCACCGTGTGTGAGAAAAGGAGCATCATGAGGCAATTTATTCCGCCAGAAATTTGGAAACGGCATGCTGTACTTCTTGGCCGGAAACTCCAATACGAACATCTCAGAGTGTTTGGGTGTAAAGACAGTGAGGATGATTTGAAAAGAGTTTGATGTGTTTAATGGTGATTACGAATGTGCGGCAGTCCGGAGAGCTCATTCTGATCGTTCTGAGAAGAAAAGAACTCCTGAATTTGTTGGTGAGGGTCTCAAACTCAACATGGAGGTCTATATTAAGTGCCTTGAGGAGGCAATGTTGCCCTGGGTCAAGAGGGTGGCTGCTGAAAGAACCTATGTCTGGCAACAGGAATCTGCATCATGCCACACCAGCAGGAGAACACACTCATGGCTGTCAGACAATTTCTTCGACCACATGTCCCCTTACATCTGGTCACCTAACTCCCCGCACTGCACCCCCTTGATTATTATGTGTGGGGTGCAGTTGAACGAGAGACCAATAAAACTCCTTGTAACACCAAAGATGAACTGAAGGCAAGATTTATGGCAGCTTTCGCCAACTTAGACAAGGAGACTGCCCAGAAGAGATGCAGGAGATTCCGAAGTTGTCTGGAGGCCGTGGTTGAAGCCAATGGCGATTTTATTGAATAAATTTACTCTTTAGTATTTCAAGATATATTTGTGTAATTTTGGTAAATATATCTGTTAAAATGAGATGTCAGTATTATTTTCATTTTTTTGTCTAATTTAGACGACAATTTATCCATTACTCCCTGTATAAATAGCAGTTTTGGAAAGTAAAAATTTAACAGAAATATATTGGGAAATTCTCATGTTTTCCTTTGAAATCTTGAAAATCTGAGCTTTAAGTATAATGGTTATAATATACGGAGAACAGAAGGTGTCATTTTAACTCGTATCATCCATATCGTTATATTTCCTTATATCTAAATTATAATTGTAAACTATAATTTTGGAAAGGTAAACAAACACTGAAACATGTCGGAAGATTTCCAAGTTTTCATATGAAATATCGAAAATAGAGACAAATGCTCACAATATATGGAAAAAGAAAGGTGTCAATTTAAATTGACACCAGAAGGATATGGTTTAAACATCTGATGTCTGGCCTCCCTTAAAACAATAGACTTGTTCGAAATACGTACGCGGTGAGAATTTGTTGCATTTCTGCTTGGGCTTGTGACACGAAGACTCCTTGGAGCTGCTGTGGTTTCTGTAGTTGTTTAAGGAAATTGAAATAATTAAAACAGTTAGGTTTAAAACACACACACACACACACACACACACACACACACACACACACACACACACACACACACACACACACACACACACACACTTCCTTTTGAAGGAACAGACAAAAGAATATTGCACTGTTAAGTAATGTCGGTCCTCTTATATTGCAGTGAGTCTTGGAAAATCTCCTCACAGATGAAGAAGAGACGAGACAACAGGAATGTGGTTCTACAGATGGATGCTGAGAATATCATGAACAGAACATGTTACCAACGACAAAGTTTTAGAGAAAATGGAAACAAAAAGGACATATATACATCAGGAAGAGACTGCTGAAATTTCTGGGGCACATAATGAGGAAAGAAGGCTTAGAAAATTTAATACTTACAGGACATATTGAAGGTAAGAGTGACCCGGCGAATAAGCTACCTAAAGAGCTTGTATAAATGGTTGACAAAACAGGGATTAGGAAAGATAGCAAAAAGATAAATAGTGCTAAGAGCTACAAAGGACAGGAAGTTGTGGAGAACCATGATCACCCACGCCCTAAAGGATCGCAGCATATAAAGGCGATGATGAAGAAGAAAACCTTTTATCTCGTCATATCTTATTATAAGTTTGCTTGTCCCTCACTTAATTCCAATGCCTCATAAACAATGAACTATTCCATTCTGATCGCGTGGAAGGACGGAAAACTTATCGGAGATGGTACTTTGTTTCAGTGAGAAAATGAAATAAATAGCAAATAAATAAATAAATAAATAAAGAAAGAAAGAAAGAAAGAAAGAAATAAGAGAAGAGAAGAGAAGATAAGAAAGGATAGAAAAGGCTACAGGCACTCATGAGTTTAACGTCTGTTTCGGTGAAATGGAAAATGTTCCAAATTTTAAATATTTTCATTTGTACACTCTTTTTAAATAACGACCAGCATTCATATTCATGATTGTCATTGCAATATTTTGTTGTTAAGCTCAAATATTTAACGATGCGATAGGGGAATTTTTACGGATATTTTATTTTCGTAGAACTTTCCATGAAAGTGAATCATTATCTTAATTAAGAGTCACCAGAAAATTCAAATATGAAAACCGTGAAACTTTCACAGGTATTTCTAGTTGAAGATAATTGTATTGTCGAGTGTCACAATTCGGCGAATATATAATAGAAAAGCCGACAACAATGAGGCTCACAAGCTATTAGATTGTTGTTTTTGATATCTTGTTTTTGGCAAGTATTTCTATCTTATTGAAATGATACATACACATTTGAAGCATCTGCTTTGGAACGTAAACACTATCGACGGCAGTCCCTCCCCCAGATTCAACGAAAAAAGATGAACGAATAAAGAATCACTGTTAAAATGTATTCGAAAAAAACGAAACAAAAAACAAAAGATGGTAAGCAGCACGTTTCTTCAGATGTTAATCTCTGAGAAATATGTCCGTAAAAATGAACTTATGTCTGATATATCTATAAAAAAAAATTATAAAACAATTAATACGTTTTAGCAAATGCTATTGTTTCCAGTTCACAGGAAAAAAAGTTCATGCACAATGACTTGGAGAATCTGTCAAATAGTTTAAGTTGATGATGAGTCTTTCGATCCCTAGAGGCTTCATTTCTCGATTTGGGTAGAGCGAGACGACATGGGTTACGGAGTGTTAGAGAATATGAGAAAAATACTATTAAGGAGAGAGACAATAAAAGAACAAGAATTAAGAAGACGGTAAATAACGATTGACATTGCACTGAAATTTTTGAAGATCAAACTGACTGGGAAGAAAGAAACTGGAAGAGAGTTCCACAAACGACAAAAGAAACTGTTAGCATAGAACTCACGATTACATCTAGTCATCTGTAATATGATGAGACCTCTCCGCCAATCTAGTACTACGTTTAAATTCATAAAGTTTAGGTACCTTAGAGGAAAGTTTATCAGAACAATAACCATGAAAATACTTATAGAAAAGACACAGGTAAGCTACTAGTGTTGACACATCAGTTCCACCACACAATCAGCAAAGTTAAGCAACGTCGAGCCTGATCTGTACCTAAATGGGTGACCGTTTGCGAATACCAGATGCTGTATGGTTGGATGTACGAGTCGTGTAATGGTTCGGAGTATTAATCGAAGAGCCGAGTTCTAATTTCAGATGAGTGTGTTATATTCACTTACACGCAAATACCCTTGGGAAACGTCCACCACTTTTCGCTCCAGCTATGGGTTAATTAGTAAGATTTAAATTATTATTATTGCCCCCAAAATTCTTACAATCTAAAAATATTTTCCTGCAATGAGTTGATAAGGCGCAGAAAACGAATCAATCAAAAAAAATCGTATCCGACTCCCCCCCCCCAAAAAAAACAAACAACACACGCACACACACACACACACACACACAAAACAAACAAAAAAGAAAAAAAAATGCGAAGAATAAGATTTATACAAAATGTAAAATTTTTGGTTCGGAAACTGTCTTCTTTTTTAGATTTTGCCAGAAAAAGTTTCTTTTTCTATGTTCTGTGACCCGTGAGGATGTAGGCGACCATGACTCTCCACAACTTCCTCTTCCTTATATTAAGAGAAATTTTTATTGAATATTTCCAGTATCCCCCTACAAAATCTTTTGAGATTTTCACTATGGTTGACAGAGCTGCAATAAATGAAGAAAAGTATAACTTGAATTTTGAAAGATTATGTAGATTTTAGGGCAGATTTTCAAGACGTTTTTGAGCCTACAAAGAACTGTTTGATGGGAAAATGCATGAGATTAAATAGGTAAACATATTGTCATATTTTAAACGATTCACTTCACTCAAAGCAGAGGACGAACTTGGACATTGAGGCAAGCAGGCAGGCATATAGGAAAAATAGTTATATTTTTGGGAATGCTCAAAACATTTTCCTTATAAATTTCACCATTTTACGTAACGGTATAAATCCACACTAGGTCTTCTGAAAGAGAAAAATGACGTAAACGAATGTTACCTGTATATTTTAACTAGAATGTTCAGCGAAGGACGATATGAAAGAAAGAACAAATAAAGAAAGAAAAAACTAAAGAAAGAAAAGAAAGAAAAGAAAAAAAGCAATAAAATAAAGACAGAAAGAAAAAAGAAAGAAAAGTAAAGAAAGAAAGAAAGAAAAGAAAGAAAAAGAAAGAAAGAAAAGAAAGAAAGGAAAGAAAAATGAAAGAAAGAAAAAGAAAAAATAAAGAAAGAAAAGTAAAGAAAGAAAAGAAAGAAAGAAAAAAAAGAAAAAATAAAGAAAAGAAAGAAAAAATAAAGAAATAGAAAAAATAAAGAAAAGCAAGAAAGAAAAGTAAAGAAAGAAAAGAAAGAAAAAAGAAAGAAAAGAAAGAAAAGTAAAGAAAGAAAAGAAAGAAAAAAGAAAGAAAGAAAAGAAAGAAAGAAAGAAAGAAAAAGAAAAAATAAAGAAAAGCAAGAAAGAAAAGTAAAGAAAGAAAGAAAAGAAAGAAAGAAAGAAAAGTAAAGAAAGAAAGAAAGAAAAGAAAGAAAAGAAAAAAAGAAAGAAAAAGAAAAAATAAAGAAAAGCAAGAAAGAAAAGTAAAGAAAGAAAAGAAAGAAAGAAAAGAAAAGTAAAGAAAGAAAAGAAAAGAAAAATAAAGAAAGAAAAGAAAGAAAGAAAGAAAGAAAAGAAAAATAAAGAAAGAAAAGAAAGAAAAAAGAAAGAAAAGAAAGAAAAAGAAAAAGAAAGGCAAGAAAGAAAAGTAAAGAAAGAAAAGAAAGATAGAACGAAAGAAAAGTAAAGAAAGAAAAGTAAAGAAAAAAAGAAAGAAAGAAAGAAAAGTAAAAGAAAAAAAAGAAAGACAATAAAGAAATATAAAGAAAGAAAAGAAAGAAAGAAAAAAAGAAAGAAAAAGAAAGAAAAGAAAAGAAAGAAAGAAAGAAAAGAAAGAAAAGAAAAAGAAAGAAAGAAAAGAAAGAAAAGAAAGAATAGAAATAAAAATAAATAAATAAAAAATAAAGACAGAAAGAAAAAAGAAAAACAGAAAAAGAAAGAAAGAAAAAAGAAAGAAAAGAAAGAAAAAAAAAAAGAAAAATTGAAGAAAGAAAAGAATGAAAAGAAAATCCACATGAAATGAAAGCAAAAGATATGCGCCATTAATATAAATTTCAAAACGTGAAGGAAAATAAAAAAATAGAGATAACTACTGATTTATTCTCTTACTTTTCTTCGCTTTCAATAACTGTAAACAAGTAGTTAATAAATAAATAAATAAATATATTTACACTATTTACATCGTTCGGACGGTTGTCCTCATTTTTATTGCTTTATTCACGGCGTTTCGGCCGTTGTACGCTTCGACCTTCTAATAATCTACCCCTGTGGACTAAATAAAGGGTTGGGTTCGAAATTCCCACGTACATCACCTGAAGAAGGTCGAAGTGTACAACGGCCGAAACGTCGTGAATATGGCAATAAAGGCGAGGACAACAGTCAAAACGATGTAAATAGTGTAAATAGTTACAATATCTGATCCCAGAAATATAGACAGAAATAAATATATAAAATAAATAAAAAATAACGGAAACTTTCATTTTTAATTTTTAAAAAAATGTTAATTTAACATTTTTACTTAGTACTCAGCATATGATTTGCAACAAAATTGTTATATGATCAAAAACTCGCTCTCTTGTTTTTATGGTGTCAAATAAATGAATACACCGATTTTTTTCATATGAAGACAACAAGAATAGAACACTACCTTTGATAACACAAGTCAAGCCGTGCTGATGACACCTTTAATATCCTCTTTCTTACAATCATAGCCTCAAACCGCATTCTCCATCACCGCCATAACTACGGCTATTGCAAAATTTTTCTTTTCTTCATCTTCCTGTCCACAGTTCCTATCAAATCCGGTTCACTTGTGCCCCTCGATCTTCTTGCATTATTACCACCAATATTTTCCATACTCTCCCTGTCACCATTCTCTCACTTATTCCAAGACTCGTATAAAGAAACGTAGTCTCTGGTCTGACGAAGCCAATTCCGGCCAGGAAATCCAGGAAGTCATTGCCTTCACCGATGATTCATGACGCACCTAATAATACATTCTTCTCAACTGAATTTGCGCATGTTCACCAAATTATTGTTCTCTGGAATAAGATTCGCCCTCTCGACGCAATTGTTCATCTGCCTTCTCTGAATTATTTCAAAATTGAAAGGACTCTGGCACACGCTGTAGTGCATGAGATGGAATGAGTTACAAGCAAAAAAACAAAAAAAAAAACAAAACAAAAAATACAAAAAACAAAAAAAACAAAAACAAAACAAACAAAAAACAAAACAAATCAAAAAACAAAAAAATAGTGGATATCACCTTTCATCTCCTTTGATAATGAGAATAACCTTTCATCCCATTTAGATAGTGGGTATTACCTTTCATCCCTTTTGATAATGGGAATTACCCTTCATCTCCTTTGATAATAATAAATTTTCATCCCTTTTTGATAGTGGGTATTACCTTTCATTACCTTTGATAACAAGAATCAACTTTCATCCACTTTGATAGTAGGATTCACCTTTCTTCCTCTTTTGATATTGTATTATCTTTCAGCCCATTTGATAATGGTAATCACATTTTATTCCTTTTTGATAAAAGTTATCACCTTTCATCTCCTTCAATAATGAGAATCACTTTTCACTTCTTTTTGATAAAGGGCATTACCTTTTAACCCCTTTGATAATGGGAATCACATTTCATTCCTTTTTGATAAAAGTTATCACCTTTCATCTCCTTCGATAATGAGAATCACATTTCATTCCTTTTTGATAAAAGTTATCACCTTTCATCTCCTTCGATAATGAGAATCACATTTCATTCCTTTTTGATAAAGGGCATTACCTTTCATCCCCTTAGATAATGGGAATCACTTTTCACTTCTTTTTGATAAAGGGCATTACCTTTTATCCCCTTTGATAATGAGAATCCTATTTCATTCCTTTTTGGTAAAGGGAATAACTTTTAATCCTCTTTTGATAGTAGACGTCAATATCCATCATATTGTTAAAAAGATGACTAAGACGAAGCAACAGAAATGTGGTTCTACAGTAGGATGATGAGAATACCATAGACGTGAATAACAAAGATTTTAAGGAAAATGGAAACAAAAAGTAAAGACGTTAATACCTGAAATGAGAAAGAGACAATTGAAATTTCTTGGACACATAGTGAAGAAAGAGAGCTTGGAAAACTTAACCCTCACAGGGCATATTGAAGGCAAGATGAATAGACTACCTAACAAGATTTTATGAAAAGGTGACTGAACAAGGAGTTGGAGAGATGTTGAAAAGACAAAAATTGCTAAGTACAACAAAGAACAGGAAGTTGTAGAGAGCCACGATCGCCAGCGTCATGGACAGACACGGTGCACAGAGTTAAACAAAGATTAAAACTGTTTCATTTGTGTGTGATTTAATACCTTCCATTAAAAATCATAACTTTCTTTCTTATGTAGGAGATCCGAGTCTAAAATTCATCGAAGGTAATGATCTGTTGTGATGACATAAAGTGCACCAAAATTAAGATAACAGATAAAAGAGACGAAAATTAATGACGAAAAAATAATGAACCAAGGAAATAAAAAATAAGCATAAATAACCAACAAACTGAATTATCATTATTAAAGTTTTTAACGGATATTTTTGTCATCTTAATTTCAATTTCCGAGGCCGTCATCTGTGTTCAAGAGAAAGAATTTCCATGACATTATTCCAGTTTCTAAGAAGCGTTGTTAATTATTAATTCTTTTTACTGGTATTGTTTCCCTTTTCATCGCAAATGCCCAAGTCATTGAATAGACAATAATAAACAGCGCTGATAGAATAAGTGAAGAATCGAAACCCTTTTATAACGAGAAGCCTCTCTAAACGTGATAGCTGATCTGCTTTTAGTTGCGATAAGTAATACTAAAAGGACAATGAAAGACATACCATATAAAGGATAATGAAAGACATACCATATAAAATTCATATGATAATGATAAATTGCAAAATAATATCAGAAATATTACTAGACTTTTAAATTGATTTGACCATAGCTCACGACTGGTATCTAGGTCCCACCTTTTTACCGTAGAGATAGTTAAATGTGACCGTCGTTTCTATTCCAACGGCTTATTTTCTCGCATTTTTCGTCTGTGGAATTCTCTTCGGTTTACATGTTTCCCTGCTCACTACAATCTTCAAAAAATTTAAATGCAACGTAAATCGCCATCTTTTGATGTCTTGAACCCCGTTCATTTTTTATTTTTTCCTCATTCCCCCTATACGCAGTTTTTCTCTTACCTTCATTTTATGTAACCCACTGCGAACCAGTGACCCTTCCGCTTTGCTTGGGGTGAAATGTGGAACTCCTTTCCGTTTACTTGCTTCACTGATAATTATAATTTTCAAAATTTTAAATGCAACATCAATCGCCATGTTCTGATGTCTTGAACCCCGTTCCTTTTTCTTTCCTCATTCCCCCTATACGCAGTTTTTCTCTCACTTTTAGTGACCCTTCCGCTTTGCTTGGGGTGAAATGCCTGTGGAACTCCTTTTCGTTTACTTGCTTCACTGATAATTATAATTTTCAAAATTTTAAATGCAACATCAATCGCCATGTTCTGATGTCTTGAACACCGTTTATCTTTCATTCTCTCCCCATTCCCTCTATACACAGTTTTTTTCTCACCCTATGTACCCTCACTGAGAACCTGTGGCACTCCCACCTTCCTTGAGGAATGAAATATATATATATATATATATATATATATATATATATATATATATATATATATCCTTTCCTGAAAGTATTAGTCTTTTCTCAAGCCACTATGCATGAACACAAAATTAAAAGAAAATGTTAAGTCCATAACCTCATTTTATTCAAAACATAACATATCAATCAATCTCAATCGAAAAAAATTTAAATATTAATTACACACACACACACACACACACACACACACACACACACACACACACACACTCTCTCTCTCTCTCTCTCTCTCTCACGCACACACACGCCTACACTCACAGACATATATATATATATATATATATATATATATACTTGTGTATATTTTTTTAAAGAAAAACAGACCACTTTAAAGTTCCATTATAATAATTTATTTCACCAGAGCCCTTTTAAGGGACGCTGGATCATCAGATAACATTTCTAAAAAATGAAACGAAAGATGAAATGAAAATTCACACTTTTGACGGGTAGTATTAAGTTTATGTAATATAACAGAGAGGGTAGCAAGGCGTGGTGTGAGAGACATCGTCGTGTTTAGAGAGGGTTTATTTTAATATTTCTTTACAAACAAAAGTTTTCTTATAAGCGAAAGTGTGTAATATATATATATATATATATATATATATATATATATATATATATATATATATATGTATATATATAAATTTTACTGATTTTCGTTTATAAGGCACTGAACTGCATCACCTCACGTCCATGATCTTGCTTGATTTTTCCGCTAAAATGATGAATATACATGAGTACCCCTACACCAAAAACCTTTTTAAAAACCAACAGCATTTTTGCTCTTGTATATAAATTCTTGTCACAATATAAAATCTTTACATTTGCCTTGATAGAATCCCTCAGAGGAAGAAACGCATTGGCTGAGATAAGTTTTCCTTATATATATGAAAAGATATTTAGTGCCACACCAACAAAATAGTATTCTTAAAACTGGGAACATTTTATTAATGAAAAATTCAAATACAAAAGTATTGTCTCGATTAAAAATAGAAAGTTTAAGGTACCTTTTGTCCGACTCTTCGTCAGGAGAAAAATAGTCGAAATTAAGAGAAACTATTGAAAGGAAACAAAACCCTTTGCAATAGAATTAAGAGAAACAAAGGAAGGTAAAAACAATATTAAATGTGCCCAGAACAAAATAAAGACTTTACATTTGCCTTGATAAAGTCCCATCTTATTAATCAAGGAATTGATAGTAAGTTAATGTCTCATTAAATCTTGTTAGCGAAGTGATTTCGTCATTAATCATATTAACATTGCTATTTAATTTTTTGTATAAATTATTTCTTTATGATATAAAATATAAGATTATTTCTTTATATATAAATATATA